AGGCAGACGAGTCCTTACAATTTAAAATATTTAATCTTTCTGATTGTTATTGGGGTGGTTGACAAGCCAGAGGGCCCCTGGTTTCCCAACACATCACTAATAACAAAAACATTGTTAAAATTATCAAATTATCAAATTATAAAATGTACAATTCTACCAAACCATCAACTGTGACTTAGCCTGCATATCAGATACACACACACGCACACACACACACACACACATCTGTTACAAGGAATTCAGTATTTCCATTCTATTCTAAATCATGTTCCAAGTCATTCTTAGAAACCTTAGACCTACATAAGTGACTTGCTTTGGAAGATTCACTCTACCATACATGACCTTGAAAGACATTTAACACCAGATGTACCACTTGCACTTGCTGACATGAATTCATCAGGTTTCTCTTTTGTTTCATTGTTCTTATGTTAACTTATGACTTTTCTATATTACTCCATGGGTGACAACGTTAAGTTGATCAGAATTCAGTCATTGAATGGCCATTAAGATGCTTTTCAGGTGTCTCACACAAAGCAGTGTGTAAGCAAAGGGAACACCTTCACCTGATGTCTGCCCAGATAACCGCACCGCTGGAGGTGAGAGGATTCATGAAGATGGGTCAGACTATCGTCCTAGAAAAGGTGCCACAAGGAGCAGAGGCTTCTCCATAAAGGAATGACACGTAAACTGAACAAGACATAAAGGCTCAGACTGACTCACTACACTGTGCTCACATGCTGAGTTTAACCACAGGTAGAAACCCTGGAGACATTCATAGACCTGCCAAACTCAAGCGACACACACCTGCTGAGACTGAATGTTCTGCAGATGAAAACAGCCCTCAGAAGGTTTCTACAGCTGCTAACATAAAGACAATTTTGAGTTAACATCTCAAGGATGAACAATCACCGAACAAGTGACCCCATCGGATTCATCTGAATGTGACCCATTGTGGTCAAATGGGCGACTGTAAGGATAAAAGAAACTCAGATACTTTGATCTTCTGAGACAGACAATACACACACAGTGCATTAACATACAGACATCTGTTTCCGCATCTCACTGAGAGAAAATGCGGGAAAACGTCTCTCACATACAGTATGCATTGGGTTTTTCCTCATCCCCTTCCTTCCCCGCACCCATCCTTCTCTTCACCCAGCACACTCAGAATGGTCAATAGTATAATGTTCTATATGAATGCAAATAAGATTTACAGTCATGTTTGGTTTCATTTGAATAGTCTCAGGGTGAGTGGTACAATGGTCTTAATCTTACAAAAGTAGACTAAAAGATAATCCAGATCCTAAGAGTTAAGAGATACTTTGATTACTGTAGAGGGTCATTCCACGCAAATTACCTTCTGTTCCCATTGAGGTGCAAACCACCTGGGTCTGGGACCTGGGTTAATGTAAATGGGGCGCATCAAGTGAGATTATGGGTTTCTGACTAACTGCTTGACCTTAGTTTAAGTTGTACTCAGTTACGTTAATCATGTATATGATTTCAGCGTTAATTAAGTTGTACGATTAGCTATCGGGGGCTAGACAAGGGGTTCTAGAAGAACCGCTGATTAATGTTTGAGCATTACATGGGTAACTGTAGGGGGCTAAACAGACCTACTATTTAAAGCATATTAAATAGTATTAGCCACAAACCTCTGAATAAGGATCAGACTGGCGAGTTTTGTTATCGTGGGGCCCACGCAGAGCGGCCGCCGTGAGGTACCCTAAGCGACATAGATTCCTAATGAACGGGTAAATATAAAGTAAAGAGTTAACTAGACTAGAATAACCAAATGTCAGAATAATAGCACTAATTAAAGACCGACAAACAACCAATTTGCCTTTCAACCTAAATTAGAGGTCATACTAAATGGAGTCAGACTTGAGTTAAACCTAAATTGAATAACTCTGCGCGCTGAAAAGCCTGAACACACAAGAAACCTTCATCCACCACTGGATACCTTCATTGGGCCAAGTGCGTGGACCTTACAAAGTACGAGAAAACAAGGGAAAAAATATTAATACATGGCCGCTTAACTTCCGTAGTAAACAGCTTCTAAAGTTATAAATGTCTAAAAGACCATGCATTTTCAGTAAACCGAAAGAAGTGGAAGTGAATCTTAAATGAACTGTTAAGGTTAATTTTCCGTCGCCCCTTAGGTAGGCTACTCATTATTTATTTACAATACTTCAGAACCTCAAAATTAATAAACATAAATTACTTAATTCGTTATAGATTTTATTGAAATAACGCAAAACATACTTCAGTAAATGTTATCAGGCTATTCATCTTCAGGTCTCATTTCAATGCGCTTTTAAGTCACAGTGTGTGTGAAAAACATGGCAGTGCAGTACATAGAATACAAGTATACAAGGACACAGCTAGAAACTGTTTTTTTTAAAAATAGTAAACAACCATATCAGTGTATATCAGTGCATATCTAGTCTGAATTGAGCCATAGCAGCAATCATGGAACAATCATTTGGTTCACTCACTGCTTCATTATCTAATCAAATAAAGTACAATGAATCCAGATGAAGGAATTAGGAAGTGCAGAGTCCTTCCCATCCTTGCTCCTGAACCGTGGCTTCTTATTTCAGCAGTTGTGCATGTTATGCATGATCTTTCTGTTAAGGCAAACCCACAAACATTAGGAATAAAAACAAACATGCACTTATAAAACTAGTTATGCTTTGACCAAAATAACTGTGATACACAGAAACTAAAATTGATGACCAAAAGTAGTTAACACACCTTTGACCACCAGCTGTGTGCTGTGATCAAGTCCCAGAGCTGGGACAAAGCAGAGATACGTTCCTCCATCAGAGAGCTGAAGATCGGTGAGTCTGAGAAAGACTTGACCCTTCTTAAGCTCATCAGGTAAAACTTCTGTTCTGTTCTTGTAGGCCGAGTTTTGTTCCTTTACAGAAACTTTCCCATGGATAATATCGAATACATTCCTGGTGTCGTTGTGTCTCCAGTGGACTGTCAGCTGTTGTTCTTCAAGCACAATACGTCTGTGACTGCACTTCAAGATGACAGAGCTTCCTTCAGTGCCTTCAGCTACCTGATGCAGAGAGGCTAGAAAACATGACTTTGCTTAGAATTAACTTTAATTATTGAGTAATAACTTTTGGGGTCCTAAGGTTTGAAATAGCAGTGAAAATCTTTTTTTTTTCCAAAATATTTTAGATGATCACTATTTCAGATTTAAATTTTTTTTTTTTTTTGTAATTTAAATCTAAGAAATTGAGTGCTGTTGATTATGTGACTCTTTGTACAGAGTCAGACAATCATTGAAGATGCTCGGTTTCATGTTTCTATTTAAATTTTAACAAACTGTTTTGCTGATAGTTTGCAGTTAAAAATAGGGATGCACGATATATCGGCCACCATATCGGTATCGGCCGATAAATGCTCATTTTTTCTGTTATCGGTATCGGCCTGATAAGAAAATTTGGCCGATATCTGTAATAAATATTGGTCTCAAAATAAAAAAATGGTCTCAAACTTTTAGACAGTCTTTGCTCTGTTCTTACCTGAACCTGTTAACAGTAAGAACACATAAATGAAACAGCATCTGTAAACCACAAAGAAAAATAATTAAAATAAAATAATTAACCCTTTAACTGTCACTCACATTTTTGAACATAGACGTGAAAGTGCACAATCCAAACTTAAATTTTTATAATTCATGAACGAAAACATTTTGTAACATGATATTGATGTACCATTTTCATTTTAAAATGGGTTTCAAAGGATGAATTTTGAGATTTAAAGTTTTCAATTGATATATCATTTCTGATGATTTCTAAAGTGTGATAGAGAAAATGGAAACGAAGAAGACTTTTTGCTACAAAGGTCAGAACTCCTGTTATGATTTCGATTTTTTGAGATGCACTCTTGCCATAAATTCATCTATTACTTTTCCTACATCATTTTTTACAAAAACATTGGTAAAATATCTATTTAGGAGTCTTAGACCTTTCCAACGATATATAGTTCATGTCATGATTAGATTAGGATTTAATATAGTGAAGTAAACTTAGGCGTCCCACAGAGGGGACGGGTGACAGTTAAAGGGTTAAAATAATTAAAAAACCAATTAAAAGAAATCTAATACTACCCTGTCAGCATACAACAAAAATTAAGCTTACTTATTTTTAAATCTCACATGTTGTAAACTAATTTTCAACGGAAGTTGCTGAAGGCAGGTCAGTTTGATGCTAAAAGTTGCTAAATTGACATTGTGCCATTGAATAGAATACACAATTAGACTACTCAAATTTACTGGCCATCTCTTGTTGGCGAAGCTTTTATAAAAAAAAAAAAAAAAAGACTGAACATCTCATTAAAATATTATTTGAAATATGTTCATTTAGATTTGTAAAAGTAATATAAACATCACATTTTTTTATGATTTGATATTCTTCTTTTTTTAAAACAACATTGAATTACTACATTTGACTTCCTACACACACACACACGTATTAAAACACGTGTAACACACGTGGTTTAAATGCCACACATCCTAGCATAAATTTAGGCTACGGTATTTACTAGTTGCCAAATCACAGAGGGGAATATATATATATATATTTTGAAGACATCGCCGAGCATTTACCATAGTAAAAGTTCAGGCTTCAGTCATTTTTTCATCTCAGTTTTTTAGTGTTGATTTAAAATAGGCACCTAATTTAAAATACTGCTGGAAGCACAATCTGATAGGTAGCATTTTATCGATTTGTGGTAGCACAATCTGAGCGGGTAACGCAAATCGTCAGAACACCGGCTAGCTGATCAAATACTTGAACGTTATAGCCTGTACAAATCTGACAGCCCTGGTTCAATTCAATGAACGCATCTGGATGGGAAACTTTCTATGCACGTCTTGTTTTTCCTATGTGTCCTGTTTATTTGCGATTTCTAATACAAAGACACATAAATTAGGTTCATTCTACCACGCAGCGATTGACACGTGAACTTGAAACAAACAGAAAAATCCTTCCAAATCTCACGAGTACATCATAGCCTACACTTAAAATGAACAATAATGAAAGACCGTAATATATTGCATTTAACAACGTGCTGTAGCCTATATAGAGTATTACCGTCGGTACATGTTAGACTATGTCAGGGCTACTGCCAGATTCAAAAGAGACTCATTTTGAAGCACGAGCGAATTATAAATGCACGCGGCAAGTTGCGGAAGTTTGCACGCCTCTCAGGTCTACATACAAAGCGACCTTTATCAACTTAATAACACGAGTCGCAAAACACCGAATCAGATTTATAATGAACCCAATTTGCATTAAATAACTTCTCAGAATGTGACACCACCGTCATAGATGTGTTTGCAAGTTGATTTCGTCCAGAAATCAATGCCCAGAAGACACAAAAATAACATGACATACTTACTGAAACATTCATTCGATGTCTAAAAACCCTTCGAAATCTCACGAGTAATACAGTATTGATAATGCAAGACTGGTCTATATCAAACTCTACATTGTAGGCTACAGACTGAATTGAGAAAGTCGACGTACCGTCGTGTTTGTCAGAGTTCCTCTCAGAATAAGCCGTCATATCTCTGCTTAGACAAATGGGTTTTAAAAATGGAGACTTCTCTGCAAAGTGAAAGTGTCGCATGTTTCACCGCCTCTCGTAGGAGGAGCTGTAATTGTCACATCAACTAAATAACATGAATCCTAATATACTCTATTATAGTTTCTATTTGCATTAAATAACTCTTCTCAGACAAGAGTAAGTTTGAAATGCTGAAGACCATGCGTTTGGAAGAAGCTGATCCATTTCTTCAAACAGCATGTGAAGATTTATGTTAAGAGGATTGGTAATGTTCATTTTACTCATTATTTTCTTACATTCCTCATTTCTGGTAATGTTCAAATCATTTTTAACGACAGGTTAATTCGACTTAAGTTCAGCACATTATCTACAAACCACCAGCATGCATTTCTTTAAAAACGTGTGATCTTTAGAACATACAAAGGACCAAACACATATGTTATTTATTTATGGGTAGTTGACAAATAGGCATTAAAAAAACACATCGTTTTTTTGTTGTAAAATATCTTTTGTAAAATGCATATATTTATGTAGTGTGAAGTCTGATCTTCCAGAAAATATAAAGGGTCACTAACTTCGTCAATTCTTTCACTGCTTTTTTTAAAGGGGTCATATGCTGCTGCTAAAAAGAACATTATTTGGTGTAATGAAATGTGTTTATGCGATTTAAAGTAAAAAAAAAAAACATTATTTTTTTAGATACTGTACATTATTGTTTCTCCTCTATTCCACTTTCACAACGAAAAACACGGCGGCCTAGCGTGAGCCGCAGCTTAGCGTGAGCTGAGGCCGGGCTAGAGTGAGCAGAGGCGGCGGGGTTGAGAACGGCGCCCGGCAGATCCGACGAAGGAGAGGTAACCACATGTGACGACCCCGGGTGAAAGCCGATCCGGCGATCCACAGTGCGAAGTTGATGTATTCCCTCAGCGACCAGTACAGATCAGCTCCAGGCATGACGAAGCGGATATCGTCCTCTTTTGGAAGACCAAACAAAGTAGTTTAGCTTTCACAACGAATCACACAGCGTCTTCACGACATGGTGGCGGCAACAACAATACTACAGCGAGAATAAAAGTTACGCCTTCTTTCTTTGCGTGAACATTTGGGCGGTGTTATGCAAATCTTCCCACACAGTGACGTAGACATGTGGGGGCGTGTTAGAACGAGCCGTTTTAGGTAGGCGTGGCTGACTCTTAACTTTTATAAAGAATATCTCTTTGGATTTGAGACTTTAGTCTTCACAACTTTACAGATCTTCTTTATGCACCAAGAGCTTGTAACACTCCAAAGAGAAAGGAAAAATTGAAATCGCATCATATGACCCCTTTAAACATTTTTACTGAACTCTACCATATATTTGTCCTATGGTGTGGAATAGCAAAAATTAAGAAAAAAAACCCTCTTAATAATACATAAATAGCATGAGAGAGATTTATCTTCTTTGTTAGACACTTATTTTCATATAGTGCTATGAAATTATAATTAACATCTTTTTTTACCCCGTGACTTGTTGGACAATTTCAAGACAAACTTTGACAAGAAGACAAACTTTGATGTCATTCGTTCAAAACTGCTGAAAATTATACAATTTTAAGACGAGTGATATTTATATCCCCCCTATTACAATACTCAACTGATATTTTGAGATAAAAACAAAAACTTTTATGTGTCACACCATAGGACATAACATCACACTAAAGGACCGAAATGATAGTTATTAAATTATTTCTATTTAATTTTGAACATGTCAAAGGAGAAAGAAAGTTGAATTTTGATCCCTGTTATTTTTCTGTCTATATTTCCGTGTCCTCTCTCTTCCACTCATTTCTCTCCCTCAATTCTTTCGGTCTCAAAAACAAAGAATCACATTTTATACTTATTTTCATGACACTTTATAACAGTACAAGTTTTTTCTGTAAAAACATCAGAAAAATTGTTTAATTAATGTAATTATTGCATGTAAGAACACTGAAAATGATCAAAAAAGAATAAAAAGCAGTTAAATAAATCTTATTTAAAATGCTTTTTAAAGAGAGCTTGTCCTGTGGCGTGACAGTACATGCAGGTATCAATTAATGACCTTGCTATTCCAAGCTAACCTGTCATTAGCGGTAAGCAAGACACATTTGCATACTTTTCCATGATTATGTAGATAAACATGCAATTTTGAATTAAAAAATATAATTTAGGGGTGTCACACCAAAGGACAATAAAACCTTACACTTTTGTAGTGGTTCCAAAAAAGTTAAATTTTTGAAATGTGCACATGTCATGGGGCTTCACAGGGGGCTTCAGTAACACAACCATGAATGAGGTCCTTCAACTAATTAAAGTTTTCTCTGGAATTGGCCGATTTGGTGTCACACCAGAGGACATGGTTTTCAGAGACAAAAGGGCCTTTCGCACCACTTTAGTTCCAGAACTAAATGTACAGTACTAAAGTACTGGGACGATTTTGCGCGAACTATTTCCCAGTACTATTTAAAGGGTTGCATTCGCACCGAGAGTGTGTACTAAGCAGTGACGTAAGCCGGTCGACAGCGACGTCATTTGTGAGCGGCGTTCAACAACAGAAACAAAGAAGAACAACATTAACAACAGGAGGATGGAGGACGCTGTGATCAGAGCTGTTTTTGTTGTGTCTCGCAGGTTTCACAATAATGGGCACAAATGCATTTGCTATTTTAACAACGCGGCGCAGGACGGGAAAATGAGAACTGCGTCGGCCTGAAACTAGCAAAAAACACTTGCCCGCATTGCACCAGGTTTATGATAGGGCCTAAAATGTATTAAGTTCCTACACGTTCAAAAATTTATGGATGAAACAAATTATTGACATTTACTAAAATAGACGCTTGTACAATTATGCCGGAGGTATTTATTAACATTTTTATGTTTTGTTTCTTTTTCATTTATAAATGTTGTAATTTATTGAACCATGCTTGGGACAGTCACACCATAGGACAATTTAGAGATTTGGCTCAAAACATTTTTTTTTCCAATAACCCTGCAGCTTTTATAACAACAGGTCCATGTAGGACAAATAATTGTTTTACCATTTACAGCATTTTAAATAACGACAATAAAAATTATATTAATTTTTATCTTGTAAGAATTACAGAATCTCACACTTTGAGCTTCTGAGATAAGACAATAGACACAGTGCATTAACATACAGCCATGTGTTTCCACATCTCACTGAGAGAAAATGTCTCTCACTTATGCATTGGTTCCTTCTCATCCCCTTCCTTCCCTTCACCCAGCTCACTCAGAATGGTCAATAGAAGAATATAATGTTCTACATGAATGCAAGTGATATTTACAGTCATGTTTGGTGTCATTTGAATTGTCTCAATATGGGCGAATGGTACAATAGTCTCAATTTTACAAGAAGTAGACTAAAAGGTGATAAAGATCCTAAGAGTTATTTTGCTCACTAGAGGGTGTGCCATTTCCCAGTGTCTTTCATGCAAAATGCCTTTTGTCTCAAGAGGTGATAACTCTACATGATCAATGCAAATTCCAATTGTTAGTTCCTGTCTCCATCTCGGGGGATGTTTGTCTTGGTCTGAGGTACTTAAGGTAATGTTGCAAGAGGATCAGGGCGATTCTGTAGCCAGAAAGCCCGTAGTGTGGTGTGTGTCTCTTCACTTCATACTATGTATTTTCTAAGGTCAGGCATGCATATTTTACTTTTAGATTAATCTTTGAGAATTTGATGTTTTGTATTGATATGATTTGATATTTTTGAATTGGATATGTAATTGGCATAATACATATTTACCTGACTGATAATAAATTGTTTCATTTTATTCTGTTTTACTCTGTAATTATTGACTCTAGTAGATTACGTTGTATCCTTGTTAGCGACATAAGCACCCGAATGAATGAGTAAATATAAAATAAAGAGTTTAAATATATATTTACAGATGTATATAAAATGTATATGAATATATAATGTGTTTTATGTCAGCTCATATTGAACACTCTAATTTACCTTTGTCATTAGAAAGTTTTTTTGGTCATTAGGGATGTTAGATGGTTGAGAAAACTGTTTTTGTCAGTGGAATTGAAAAGTGGATAATATTCCAGTTTGTATATACTGTAAGGTCATCTGTTGTGATCATGGGCAGGTTTGACTCCTATGGAGAAGGCTTTGGGTCCGCTCTCTTCTCATTAGGTTCTGTAAGAAAAGATGCATAGAAAGTAAAAAGTGTCAAAGAGTTCCTATCAATCTAATAATTAATTTAGTCCCCCCACTACAGCGATTGGTAACTATTCACTTATGACATGCTGACAAAGACAGAAAAACTACATAATTCAAAAAAGCAAAGAATGCAAAGAACATAAAACTTTTATTTTACAATCTCTCTTTATTAGTAAGACAAATATTACTTGACCTACTCACTTGAGCAACAACACTGAAGGTATGAACGACCATCTCGTCTTTGCTGGTGATGTGTAGTTTATAAAATCCATAATGTTCAGGTGTGATGCTTGTGATGGTGAGAGATCCTGTATCGAGGTTCAGTTTCAAACTGTCTTTGAATTGTTGAACTGTTTCATTATATAGGTTTACCTCATTGTTTGTTTTATTCAGCGTAGCTATTAAAACAAATTTAGCACAACTGCGTTCTTTGGAATCTGCAAACTTCCACCATATCATGTCAATTTCCCGTATTTCAGTAAGATCCGTGTGTAGCGTGACAGATTGTCCCTCAATCACTGGCATTGATGTGATTTTATCTTCCTTAAGAAGCACACCTGGAGAACAAATAGAAACCATTTTTTAGATGGAGATTCAAATTCTGTTTCCATCCATGTATTTGTATGCGATGTTTGGCGTATCGCCTTAAAAACACTTGAAAGAAACGACAAGATGAACAGAAAACCTTAAAATGTGCAAGTTATAATTCGCGCCAGTTTCCCAGGAAGTGACAATGAAAAAACATGTGGGATGGAAACTGTTTTATTTGCAAATATTTCATGCAATATTCCAATTTAATTCACAACTTTGGATGAAAACAAAATCTTGTCCAACTAAGCTAAGCTATCAAATATTAA